AATTCATTCAATATAAGTCCCCTTTTATCATAAAACATGACATATGGAATTTTAATGACCAAATGCCCACCTAGTATAGATGAATTGCTATGTAGCATTGCAAAGGTCTAAATCAGTTATTGAAGCAAATTATAAATATGGAATTACGCTGTAAAAGGATAAGCGTAACATTATAACACAGAAAGTATGTAAGATAAAACAGCAATGAAGTTAAAAAATAATTGTACTTAAATGATTCAGCACTCACCTGTTGTTTGTAATACCTCCTATCTTCATCATCAAGTAGAACGATATTGAGAAAGTAACGGACCGAGAACTTCTTATTGATATCACGCATAGTTGGCGTTAAATAATAGGAACCGAGAAAAATTCGTATGGGTATCGATTCACCCCGTACAGGAGCGCCATCCATTATCTCATATTTGGCAAGTGTATCGTAATCACTAAATGCAGAATTCCCATATCCAATGGTTTCCCGTTTGAGTATTTGTATTTCCATATATCTTATTTTTATCCGAACTAGAACAAAGTATATTTTACCAACTATTACATCTTGTATATGGTATCTAAATGCATAGTCTCACAAAGGAATTACTTTGACTTATTGTATTCAAATTCTATGTGAAGGCTGTTCTCAATTCCAACTTCCATCTGAATGCTTGAATCAGAGTCTAGATGTTTTGAAAGTGTTTGAACGTATATCTCTTTTTCCTTGATGATGTCAGAAAGGCGTCTGGAAATGGTTACTCGAAGGAAATATCTAAGCAACAAATCAATAATCGTAAAGATTACCTGAGACGAACACTCGTACCAGAATACGATTCGTATGGCTTATCAATCGATATAAACTCGAAAGGGTAACTGGTGGTCTTTGATAAGATGCCGGGTCGAGCAAGATCCTTTGGAAGGAAAATAAAATCTTCGCGACAAGCTCTATCCGAGTAAATGTCTATTTGCCCTATAAAGTCTATTTTTATCCCCTGATGCTCAAATTTGCTTCCACGTTTGA